AACGGAGTGGCTAGGCCCTAAGGCGTAGTAAACCTACGAAAACTGTTAACCGGGCTAATGGCCTAGAAAAGGGCTAGCTAAAAATACGTGTACGGTAATTCCTCCCGTTTTTTTTATTTAATTTTTTCGTAAAGTTCAACAGGGAATTCCAAGTAAAAATAATAAATTTAAACCGTATAAAGATAGGTTGTACCTATATCGGAGAGGAAAAAAAGTGTCGGTCGGTAACCTGCAGTCAAGTCAACATGCGCGCTCGTCCAGACGCTGTAGGCTTTTGTTTATTTCGACCATAGTTATGAGCAATCCGAATGACCGATGTTAATCTGTGACGCGCGGACGGTGAGCCCACAGAACAACGTTTCTAAACTCTCTTGTATTCGTTGGTCCAGAGTACTTTTGTTCCGGGGTTTCTTCGTTCGTGTTGTACTACAACACATTAAGACTTTGGTTTTGATTCCGGAAAGTCTACTGAATTCTGAACTTGTCCAGTAAAAACAAAACACTTATAACTTATTTTTTTTGATTTTATTTCATTTTTACATAAATTTATTTTTTAAGGGGCCTAGGGGCTAAAAAAGGAGAGGGGGCGTAAGGCTAAGAAAAACTTTTTAGTGCAATAGCCGAAAGGCAGGCTAGTTGCACTAGCCTAGTAGAGATGTATAGAACCGATTTTTTTCTAATCGAAGGACGGAAATCATTGGGCGAAGGTTTATTCCCAATCTCGAAATTAGAGGTTTGAACTTGTTTAGAGGATAGTTGGTCTTCCGACTTCAGTGTACGGAACGAAAGACGGTCGACGGGCCACAGGACAGCTTGTATCACGCCAGTTTGACTTCGTAGTTTTTTACTTCGTAGTTTTGTTCACCACTCTGTGATAATACCTTTTAATTTTTACAGAACTTGATAATACTTGCGGCGATTCGTTTAATTCACTGTGGAATCTTGAAAAAAACAACGCACAAATAAACATAATTACACAGTTTAACATAAAAGAAAACAAGCATAAGAAAGCACACGACTAGAAATATAAAAGGCACAAAATTTACAAAACAACTGGGGTCTTCTGATCGGGACCCTGGCAAAAACACCTTCGCCTACCCCATTTTCATATAGTGTGCTCAATCCAGTATTCGTGTATTACACGTAACTTCACAGTTATTTTATCTAAAAGTTCGGTTTTCAGTATTCTTTTGTGCTAATGTTGGATTTCGTTATTACTGATTGAAACGGCGACTTTACTGACTATCAGTATTTAAACGAAGACATGTCAAAGTTAATTTACAGAGTTTCTACTTTTCTAGGTCTCGGACGACCCCGTAACTGAAGTTACTGCCGTAATTTACAACGCCTGATAGCGGATGCAAGGCGAGTTGAGCTTCAAGGTTTTCAGTGAGTCTGCTTCTTTGTGTGTCGTCGTCCGTGAAGTGTGGTCGTGGTTCGTTTTCAGATTTTAACCTTGGTCCTTTCTCTCTGTAAAACCTTTTAGTAGTAGTGTCGGTTCTTTTTCTGTGCGACACGTGTACACTACGAAGGGGCGAAGGACGCAACGGGACTCGTCCTCTCCTTCAGTCCTCGTTAGTCGCGGGTAAACAAACGCTGGAAACGAGGTAACGGGATTTACAGCGAAAGTACGTATCTTTACGGGTTTTTGTTTCGGTGCACGGTTACCGTTCTCCAATTGTGACCGCTGGTCAGAGTATTATCTGTCGTTAATGTATACACCGGAAGAGAATCTTCCCCGGTGAGACGGTTCTTTTTACCGCGGATTCCACTATAACAGACGATCCGATATTCACGACAGACCGGAATGTGTTTAACGGGTCATATAACAACAAACGGTCTACCTTTAGCAAGTGAGATTCTTACAGAAGATGTGTAAGGTCGAACAGAAGAAAAACGCGTCAAATGTCTCGTTTGTTTCAGCCAAATGTAAGGGTGTGCAACGGCCGACAAGCTGGGAGTAAGTCTTGAAGCTTCTGGACAAACGAACTGCACGCGACGTGGCGCGAAGTGCGAAGTTTGGGCTACCGCGCGTCAGAGAGACCCAATGAAGACCACTAGCTTCACTGCCGGCGCGGTGAGACACGAGGAAAAAATGCTTGAATGTTGGACACAACCGTTCTTTCATGAGTCGTAAGAATTGAATTAATTTTCATGTGCGTACCTACCAGAAATTTGTATGAGGCAATGTCGTCTTCAGCTAAAAATCAGGCGTAATGTAAATTTTAGTGACACAGCGCGTCAATCGAGAAATCATGTCGTAGTATGGCACACCCTGTCGAATTGTACAGCAAAAATACATGCTTTAATTGTACCTCACGCATTTTATTTACATCGACCCATTTTTCCTACCATAAACGGGAGACTTTACACTCAACGCCTCCTCTTCCATAATTCATCCCGGATTTTTCGTTTTGAGTTTCACTTCGCGATTTACGAAGTTTTTTTCGATGTCCGAATGAACTCGATTTACATGCTTTGAATCAATGAAAGGTGTTGACGCTGAAATTTTAACGCGGCGGTATACTTTGTGTGTGACTCTTTTTTAATTTGTGTCGATATAATTTTGTTGGGACTGTTTCGACGGTGAGTTGACATTGCCTGCAATTGCCGATAATAAAAACTGTGACATTTCTGAGATTGTTTTCGGTTGAATGTGCAAGTGTGGCTGTGGTCTGTTCGTCTCTTTTGCAACGTCGGTGTGCCTGTTTCGAGGACACGACGAAGTACCGACGACAGAACTCAGTCTGAAACAATGCAAAAATCACTTAATTCCCTGCTGTCCGCCTGATGTCGCAACAGAGGCCTGACAACACCGAAGAAAAGACCGAGCCCGGAGCAACACGCCGGAGATTTAGGGTCCGGGTCGTCCGCGATCTCGGTCCTCGTGCACACGCGACCCGTCGACTCGTAGGTCTTACTGTCGCCCGCGGAAAATTACATTCAAGGCGGGGGAAGCGAAGGGGCGACACGGCACACACCTCGGCTGTTTTTTTTTTGAGTGTGAGCTGTCGGTTTTAGTCGGACTTTGTTCTTCAATCGGCAATTACCGGGGGGATTATTCGACGTAAAGTACACTGTGTGTATAGTACTAGATTACCAATTATAATTTGGTGTCCTCTCCCCTTATTAACGAGGGTTAAAAGCGTCGACTGGGAAACACAACACACAATGTCCGAAGAACAGAACACACAATAAGAAACAAGAAAATACTATACCACAACAACACAGACAAATTGAAGAAACAACAGAAGCCCAGTTGGCTAAATGATGAAAGTAGAGTATTGGAAAAAACTTGTTTTGTATGGGGTTTTTAACGACCTAGTGTGAGAAGTAAATTAAACCTACTGAAATTAGTTGAAACATTGTGAGCTACCACAAGCGCAGTTTTTACTGGCGGGTATTTCTTTTCCTGCCGGTAAGGGCATTGGTAGGCCTAAGTCTATTTTGTGTGTGTGTTGTGGGTGTGTGTGTTTGTGTGTGTGGTGTGTGTGGTTGTGTGTGTGTGTGTGTGTGGTGTCGCTGTGTGTGTGTGGTGCTCTGGGCGTAATGAGATCTACACAGCACCAGGGGGAATACAGTTAAAGGGTAACACTTAGCTGGTGACCGTGATGTGTGTGTGGTGTGTGTGTGTGTGCGTGTGTGGTGTGCGTGTGCGTGTGCTGTGCGTGTGTGTGTGTGTGTGTGTCTTGTTAACTGGTAAAGGGCGAGCATACACCGGGTAGGGGGTGTACCTAGTGTGGACTGTCTTACTGTAAGTCACAGATAAGAAACATATACATGACGTCAAAGGTACATATTGGTCATCACTTATGGTATAATGTCAAACACGTTCCCACCCCACTTACATCTAAACCACTAATCAACGTATAAAAATTCATTCTGTCAAGTTTGTCCTGCGTTTGGGCGCTTGTGGTTCATTTGCGCCTTTGCCTTCTGTTATACTCCCAATTTCATTGAAAACAAAGCTTTTACACGATATTTCACGCTTAACTTACGTACTAGTATTGTCACCCACAACCACTTTTTTCAGTCGGGTGAACCAGGTAAACTAATCCCGACACTTCAAGTCATGACAAAGTTTCCTTTGAAAGTAACTTGATAGTTCTTAAGGTTTAATGTCTAAATCTTGGTTTTCTAAACTTTGCGCTGCGCACCAGCACCACACGGCATTAGTTTCCGACTGTGTTTTACACAGACATAATTTACCAATTAATCTGCGTAACATCTTACACATGTTTTTCCACTCAATATTTTCATAGTGTAGAATTTATAGAACGATTGCACACTCTCAAGTGCTCGCGCTCTCTGTCACGGGTCAGAACGGCAACTGCGGCAAGACAGACAACTTTCGCTCGTGAATACGTTCTTAGACACACGCCAACACGGAGCAAAAAGAATTCACGAGAGTTCAGATTATTGCTCTGGCTCGTCGATTGACACTTTAGTTTGTAGAATTTTAGGCATTACGAGAACACAACAACCGGGTNGGCACTGTTATTTTGGGGATTGCGGGCTGAAAAGTTTGGGAACCCCTGCTTTAGGAGACTAGTGGTCTATTCAGTGGAATGGGAGATTTTCACATGAGCACAGATAATGACCTATTCTTTCGCTTAATAGTCACCAAAGTAACTTCTGGACTTTTTTCACTAGCCACATATCTTCACTTATCTAATTCTGACACTAAATAGGCATTTTCCCAAACAGAAAAATCAGTAGGAAATGTACTTTTTTTGTCTGATTCGTCTCTCTCAGCCACAAACTTGCTAAATCTGGCATCAAAGAATAATGTTAGCAACATAAAACATATATATATACATTAAACCGTGCCCACTTATTAAACCAACTTTTTTATTATTACAACTATTGAGCAAATTCTCAGAAATTAACAAGGGGTTAAATGTGCAGTTCTTAAAATTGAAGCCAGAAATATTTGACAGAACTAGTTTTACTTGTACTAATATAACTGATAAGTAATCTAGGTGTTGTTTTGTTTGCAGGTCACTGTGCCTCTGCTCCTGGTTAACTCCTCAGACGACCCCCTCATTCATCAGTCTCTGCTGGATATTCCTCGCACACTCGCAGGTTCGTGTTAGAAGCCGAAATGCATTTCTGCCACTGGGGATAGTTACAACAAAGAACTTCCATTGATACTTTGGAAACTGAGGATAGCTACTAATATGTACTGGGGGAAACAAAAGCTCTGTCCTCTCCTCTTCCTGTTTACTTTGGACATTGGGTTGATATACTTCCTTTGTGCCAGAATTACAGCCTTCATTTTCCCAGGAGACCATACCTGGTGGCTGCCAGAATTTTAAATATAAGCGAGACTCATTGAGAAGCAATATGTATGTCGGTGGTGTAATTTCTACATAGCCACTACATTATGCAAATAACCGTTTTTCCATAGTGATAAGTTATCATTGCTACTTCAAAGTAATCGACAGCTTGACACAAACTATTAAAGGGGCCCTATTACGTTTTATTTTCAGGCTCATATTAGTATGTAGTGTCTCTACTGGGACATGTCTCCATGCTTTAATGTTCAAAAAGCTCTTTATTTCTCTCATACTGCCTGTCCTGCAGCACCTCTTTTCACCCTCTGCCTGAAACCAGAGCCCCGTCTGCTCTGATTGGTCGGCTGGCATTTTAGCCTTGCAGAGCATTTACTTTCACAACAACCATTATACCACACTACAGGAAATGGAAAACCCCTAAAAAGCCAATCTGTATGGCCAAGTCATCTTCATAGGCTTTATCAGAGTCTCTTGATGAAGATATAGGACCAATGAGAAGTATGTTGTGAATTTCCCTACGGGGAATAATAGAGCTCCATCTTATCTTATCTTACTGAAAGGAACATATGATAAGACACTAATGTTCCCACCTTATGCAAACAATACAGGAACTATGTGAGTTTTATCTCCTCCTGTACACATGTTTTTATGCAGTGAAGTGCGTGGGAGTAAACTTAGCCGTTGCTATGACGCTCATGTTTTTGTTTTTTTGGATGTTTTGAGCGTTTCCTTGATAACGAATGACTTCGACAGTAAATCATTGTCCTCTCAGAGACTCGGACTGAGACTAAATTAGAGCTAATGCTGCTTCTCTCTGAAGCTGGACACTGGGGCCGCATTATTAAGCGTTTATAAAGTCTTGTTGCTGAGATCTGCTCCACACCGCCCAGCCCAGACAGTCTTGTTGAATTTTTCAGGGCCATGTGATACGACTAGGCTGCTGGATTATATATATAGAGAGCAGTGTGTGTGTGTGTGCCTGTGCAGACCTATTGCCTTGTCTTGTCCCACTAGGTCACATGCACGGGCCCCCATGCGTGTAAATCAGTGATAGTAATGACTTAAACCCTGACAAGAGAAATTCAAAGCGAATCCTCTACTTCAGGGGAATTTAGGCACATGATTGTTCTTCTTTACATTTTACCTGAATTGTTTGCCGTGACCCAGTTAGGATTATTCATTCAAGGTCCAAACTTTTCAAATACAATGTTATCTTCATTATCTTTTAAACACTTAAAGGTAGGGTAGGTAAGAATGGAGAAACCAGCTGGAGTGCGCTAGAATTTGAAAGTACGCAGCTGAAAAAAATCTGCCCCTTCCTTCCAGAGCCCCTCCTTCAACACACACGAACGCGCACATGACCAATGAGGGCACGAGATAAGTTTGTGCACAGATGGAAGGCTGACAGGCAGGTAGGCCTACAGCTATATATTGTTAGGCTGGCTCAGATGATTGGTCGTGCTTTTTACAGCGCCACGGCTTCCAGATGACATTCTTTAATGTATTCATTGCTATCGGGATGTTAAGAGCATTCCATGGAATATAACAAAAAGTGTTTCTGAAGGGAATTACCTACCCCACCTTTAAGACAACACATACCAAAAACCGACCAACAAAAACAGACACTGACTACATTTTTTGAGATAAATATATATACTTCAGGTCAATAATCTGCTAACTTTAGGTCAATAATCTGCTTAGAAAGCTGAGGGTGAAGCTAGGTTTCTTTTTCAGAAACAAGTCCTGTTTCTCACTTGAGGCCAGGAAAAGGCTAGTTTCTGTGACCTTTTTACCTGTGCTGGACTATGGTGATCTGATCTATATGAATGCACCTGCCCATCACCTGATCAAGTTAGAAGCCGCCTATCACAGTGCACTGAGATTTGTTACTAACTGTAAAGCACTTACTCATCACTGTACCCTGTATGCCAAGGCAGGTTTGCCTTCACTAACTCTACGGAGGCTCAGTCATTGGTACATGTTTATCTATAAAGCCATGTTGGGTAAACTACCAATTTATATATGCTCTTTGATCTCACAGAGAGTGGCAAGTAGCTATTGCCTGAGATCCCAGGATGTGTTTGTATTACATGTGCCAAGTGCTAGGACTGTTTTAGGTACAAAAGCTTTTATGTGTGCTGCTCCTTTAGCTTGGAACACTATGCAATTCTTTTTTAAACTGAGCATTTTGGTTCCCTTGCATAATTTTAAAGCTCGGATAGATGAAATGTTATTAGATAGCTGTCATTGTGAATAGGTTAATGTATACCCCAGTAATTATGTGGTATTGATGTCCTTTTTGTTTTCTGTTGTTTTTTTATGTGTAACCAATGTGCTGCAGGTCTCCCTTGAAAAAGTGATCGTTGATCTTAATGGGATTTTACCTGGTTAAATAAAGGCTACAAACAAACAAACAATATAAAAAAAGTTAGAGGAAAACATGCCCGTTTAAAAAAAATGCTTTACAATTAACCACCTTTACTTAGTTACGTTGTTTTTTTTAAACAAATGTTGATACTAATCGTAAATTAAAAATGAGTTTGAATGATTGTTTAATGCCAGTTTAACAACATTCTTCTGTTTTTAGAGAGAAAGAAAACCCCACACAAATAATAAAATAAATAGATCGGTGACAAAATCCAGGGAAACCCCCAATGTCTAGTTGAGCTGGAGTATGTTTATGTGTGTCTGCATGTACAAAGAGAGAGAGGGTGTAGGTGGTGTAAAGTGTCAGAAAGGGAAAGGAGCGTATCTCTGTGTGTAAACTGAACGTCTCACAGCTCTCAGAGCAGGAGAGATCATTATTCACCTCCATTGACCGGATCAAGGGGCCTTTAATCACCAAATTGCTGGATTACAAACTAAAGGGGCCTAATTACAGTCCAAAGGTTTCACTTGCAATAGATGTTGCAGTCTCTACCAGCGCTATCTGTTTCTGTAATGGTGCCACATGCTACAGTTTCCTTTGACCTTCCTGTTGATGCTTTGGGATTGTGAAACAATCTTGTGCAAGGTGAATATTTGCCAACAATAATTCTTAATATATAAGAAAAAGAGGCTACTATACAAAATACATAAAGAACCAATTGCACACAATGCTAATCAAGAAATCAGATGATTTTAAAACACACCTGGTCGCACAATCAAGCACAGAATGAATTTGATGAAGTCTGCAAAAACAAATAGTTCCCTTCTACTTGTTTTCAATGTCATCTGTTAAAAATAAATGTCCGTCTTAGGCAAGGCAAGTTTATTTATACAGCCCATTTCAACACAAGGCAATTCAAAGTGCTTTACAAGATTGAAGAGCATTAAGAATCATATTATAAAATGGCATTTAAAAAAAACTTATTTAACACTTAAAAGCAAAGATAATAAAACATGGATAAAAGTTACGGTGCAGTTTAAGATGTGAATAGTTCAATTAAAAGCAGCGGCAAAAAGAAAAGTCTTCAGCCTGGATTTAAAAGTAGTCAGAGTTGCAGCGGACCTGCAGGTTTCTGGGAGTTTGTTTCAGATATTTGGAGCATAATAACTGAACGCTGCTTCTCCATGTTTAGTTAGATCCTAGTGTGTGCTGTAACCTTTATTTTATAATAATAATAATACATTTTATTTTTAGGTGCCTTTCATGACACCCAAGGACACCGTACAATTTGTTAAAAAAAAAAGAGAAAACGCTAATAGGCAACAGAACATGATAAAAACACAAACAGGAAGTCATAGAGGAGACAGTCAAGTGGACACAAATGAAACATATAATGGGGAGCACTACAGTGAGTAAGCAGATTTGAACAGGTGGGTTTTTAATTGGGATTTGAATATGGTGATTGTGTCTGACTGTCGGATGTGCGGGGGGAGGGAGTTCCAAAGTCTGGGAGCACTGCAGCTAAAAGCCTGAGCACCCATGGTGACGAGGCGTGGGGTGGGGACAGTTAGAATACCAGCAGAGGAGGAGCGGAGGGAGCGAGAGGGGGTGTACTCCTGAAGAAGGTCAGCCAGATAGGAAGGGGGGGGGCGGCAGGTTATGTAGGGCTTTGTAAGTGAGCAGTAGGTTTTTGAAGTTGATACGGGATTGAACAGGGAGCCAGTGGAGTTGGATGAGGATGGGGGTGATGTGTCCTGAGGCCTCGGTGATGATCCGGGCTGTAGAGTTCTGTATGATTTGTAGTTTATTGATGAGCTTGGTGGGTATGCCTGAGAGGATAGCGTTACAGTAGTCGATGCGGGACGTGACAAATGCATTGACCATTTTGGTTTGCTGTGATTTACACTGCACTCCAACAGAGTGTTTTTCATTTGATCTCACCCCTCTTTCCATGTGTAGAAAAGATGCCCAATGTGATATTCGCCCTGACTCAACACGGAGGCCACCTGGGCTTCTTCGAGGGGGCCGTGCTCTTCCCTCAACCGCTCACCTGGATGGACAAAGTGATCGTGGAGTACACCAACGCCATCTGCCACTGGGAGAAGAACCTGCCGGCGTGCCAGCGGAGCAGCAACCGGGGCTCTGACGCCTGCCTGCAGAGCACAGGGGACACACTCCGCGGGTAACACACAGAAGACCAAAAACATGCAAACTCTTCTGTATTCGCTCTACTTCAGTACTAATGGGAAATGTAGGAAGTCACTAAATGGATTAGAAGAGTTGAAGTGGAAGCTGTAAGGTGTAAACGGAAACTCGCATAAGATACCTGCAAATGTAACACGACCCCAGGGTTGAATTAGTCGTTCCTCTTGTTCCCAGTTAACCCCCGGTGTAACACGAGTTCACACTTTGCTGGTTTTTTTGGCAGCTGCTGCTCCTTGAGGGTGATATAATTAGTGAGGGGGAAACACACTGCAACCAGAGGCTGAAAATGACCTTTAACCTGCATGTAGAACAAAGAGAAAAATGTGTTTCTACTCGATTAACTACTGAAAACTTTCCTAGATGCTAAAAGTTAGCACAACTAGAATAAATAATATTGTTTTTTAAAACTGGAAATGTATCCTAGTCTGAAGCCTTAAACCCTTAACCCTTAATATACTTATTTGTAAAAAGCCTTCCAGAAGCTATAGAGTTGACAATCGTATTCTAAGTGCCTTAATATAAATGTTTCTCTCATGAATCATTGAGCTACCTCTGATAAGCAGCAGTATGACGTGGTTTATTGTTTACAGTGGTGATTTCAACAAAACATCTGTTGCGCCAAGTCAAATTGTAATTTCCTGTATACTGACACGATATCATCTCATTTGTTTCCATTCGGAAGGGTTTGCTTTTTTAATGCAGGAGAACTACGTTAAAAATCATCCGGTTTGGTTTATTTATATATTTTTGACGTAGTTTTTCTCAATTTGACGTCAGTTTTTTGCATTTCCATTGTGTGCAGTGGACCATCAGCTGGCCTTGTTGCTGCTGACAATTAAAATGAAAGAATCAGGGTGTCAGGTTTTTTTTAAAGAGCTTAAAAAAAGTCATATTTTATTTTTTGTTTTGTTTCATGAGAATGTGGGCACTTCATACAGCCTCGCGTTAAGATTGTACTCTTTGTATGGCATCCATGTCCGCTTGTCCCATTCCATGAACTGCTGTAAAAGCATGAGGATGGTCAGACTGTATTATTTCCTAAATGCTGCTTAGTAAAAGTCCTTTAAAGAATTTAGGACACGTGTTACTGAACAAATTCTGCACGACTGTCCTGGACAGAGCTTGGTCAATCTGTGTGTACTAACACTGTTGACAGAAATAAGCAAACGGGACACAAACAGTAAGCGTATTAAATCAGAAATCCAGATGGACTTTCACTTTATGCACTTGGCAAACGAAAATGGACCAAAGCACTCTTCACTTTTCTAGAAAAAGCAGCTCAACTTTGTACTTTTTTAATGATTCTGCTGCATTTTGGGTGATTTTTTTGTTTGTTTCGGGTTTTGTTAAAACAGTGGCTTTGGCTCAAAAACAATGGAGGTCTCATATTAGACGTTACTTTTGAACAAGGGCTAATTTATACGTTACATAAGTGACCAAGCTTTTCCAGGTTTGTTTTAAGCTGCTTATTGCTACTTAACACATGGGTGGATTTGACACAAGACCATTAATAAAGTTTTTGTTACATTAAAACTCAGAAAACAGATGGCAACTATCACACAGAAATCACCTCTGTTATGGCTTATGATTCAGAAGTTGATAAAAGTCTCAAACATGGACAAAAAAGGAGGTGATTTTATGTGAAGAAATCCTGTTTTCTGTTTATTCTGGTCCTGCATCTGGTGTGCATGTTTGATGTTAGTCACAGTTTCCTGTGCGTAACATCCTGTCGCACTATATACAAATGCAGGGGACTCCACCCAACTCCATGCAAGTCTTATTAATCAATATTTCAATCATCAAACCAAACTGTCATTCTTTATCTGTCCTTTTTTAAAAACTGAATACAATCTGCAACAGCACCACTATTGTATTTGTGCAATATGTTCCGATCTTTTTGCTTGCACTTTACTGTCTGTACAGTTCCTATTTTTGTATTGTGGCACTATAGTATGATTCAGCGTATGGGTTTAACGTTTATAATCTAATCTTAAAGTGTTTCGTTCTAATGTTCTGCACAGACATGACGCATTTTTGTAATAACTCACCCATTAATAAATATTTTTCACATAGATTCCTTTTTTCTGTCTGTTTATTGTAAGCTTTCTAGGCTTTCCTTTTCCTAGCCAAGTATCTACAGTTTCACGGAAATGTCTGTCGGTCCAGACAGAAATATTTAAATGACTATTAACCTTTTCCAGATTCAGATGATGACTCATACTGACTATGGGGTTCACATGACTTTTCCTCGAGCGCCATCATTAGGTCAAATGTGGGTATTTTTACCTGCAAAATAAATAGGCCAGTCTCAGCTTTAGTTGGCGTTTATGTAGCGTGTTGGCATGCTTTTAAACATTATACCCACATGCCAAAAAAATGTAGGCTATACTGATATTCTTCCCACCAGAACATCCAATACTCCTAATTATATCACATGACTTAAACAAGAAAGAAAGCAATAATAAACATGCAGATCTATTTGTATGATATGAGCAGTTATTGTAGAAGTACTTTAACTAATAGAAAGTATAAATACCACAGTCTACATAAATACTTCATTCCTGGATTTAATATCTTACAAAGTCCAGAAATATTGTCGGCAAAATGCACTTAAAAGTAAACATCGTGAGGAATTGCCATTTTCAAAGTATCATAACCGTAGCATCTGAAGTTATTTTAGAATATAAAAAAATACATTTAACAGTATTTTAGAGATGTAGTTATTCAACATTGAGCACATTTGAGTGCTTTGTATAATAGTCTATAGATTATGCATCATATCATATGAACAGAACATGTTTTTAAAAAGCACTGCCATTTGAGCTATTGCACCTGGTTACATTCTACCACTATCCTAGATTTGCAAATTGATGCAAAGACCACAACTCATATTTATATACAGTTTATTGTACATTTGTTGACATTCTTATTGGTGCACCAGGAAGCTCGATGGGGTAAAACTTTCTAATATTCATACTAAAAATCACACGAGAGAGAGAGAGACAGGCACTTGAATTTCAGCCTTGTACTTCAAGGAGAGACGACGACGACGACGGGGGGGGGGCAGAGGGTGGAAACTCAGAAAGCTGGAGCCTGCCAGAGTTAGAAACAAGCCGTGTGGCTGAAATACAGTCCAAACAAAGGAGAGAGACAGAACATCTCAAAGGCAAATGAGAAGCACTTTCTTTTGGATAAACGTGAATATGTTATACATTTAAATTCTGCAAAGTTCCACTAGCTGTCAGTAGAAAACTCCACTTTTAAACATAATCTTTGTTTTTTATGTGTTTTGTTCAATGTTGAATTGTGTTTAATAAAAGAATGTTAAGTTTGATTTCCTTAAATTTTTTATTTGACAAGCAATGTTTGCAGTGTAGTGAAAGCAGAAAGGCAACACAGAGTGCTCAAACATTTGTTTAATTACGGTAACATCTTTACATATTTTCAAGCAAAACAGGTGTAACGTGGTATCATTTAAGTGTGAGTGGTGTCCTGTTGGACTGTGCTTTGTCAGGACTTCTGGAAAACAACATCATTCGTCCTTGTCACAAACTTTCTTCATAACATTTCTCCCTACAACCACACAGCTAGAACTGGGCCTTGAGTCTCCACAGTCTGCAGGGTGTGTAATATATATGACAGCTCTCGGCCTCGTTGGTGCAGAAGAAGAAGGAGGAGGAGGATGTTTAGTCGAACAGTTTGGTGGCTATGGCCTTGCCGTCGTACTTGGAACCTTTTCCATTGAACTCAGAGGGAAGAATGTCGGCGTCAAACTCCTTGTGGTAGCTTTCCAGCTCGTCTCCGTGGACGAACACCTAGAGAAAGAACAGCAGCAGTTAGAGACACCTGAGACTGTCACACGTGTGAAATAGAGGACATCTAGTTTGAGTAGGCCTATTATACCCTGAAGTGGGAAGTCTTTATGAATTGAGTGCAACAAATGGTTAAAATTAGGAAACAGATCAGACAGAAATTGCATAAATACTGCATTAAGTTCAATGTAAAATGGCGTTTTGGGGAATAATAGGTATTTGTAGCATTCATGTTGGCCTGCAACATTTGACATCAAAAGGAAGTGCTGTTATGTGACATTTTTTAAACCAAAACATTACTGAAGTGAAATAGAAATAGATTAATAATTAAATTGGATTCATTCTGTGTTTTGAATCCAAAAGCTAAAAGCTACAGATTGTGTACTTTTGTGAACGGTACCATTTTACTTCACAACCTGGTCTGATACAAATGACAGGTCTAATTGTTGTGTTTAATCCTTAAAAGAGTTGGCTTATTTGATGCTTAGGCTCTTGCTATTCTTAATTTGGATCCTCTTGGTTGATTGCACTTATTGTAAGTTGCTTTAGATAAAAGTGTAGGCTAAGAAAATGTGATTTAATAATGTAATAATAAAAAGAAAACTTGCCTTGAAACTTTATGTAATACAAAAATAACACTATAACTTGAGACACTTTCTAAATACAAGGATAAAGTAGTAAGGTGAGTTTCCTCTAACATGACTGTGGCCGTTTCTCATTCTCGAGGAAACTGGCTTCCAAGCCAATATTTCAAGGATGCTACGTCATTGAGTGCCGCCGAAGGACTGTTCCAATCTCCAGCATAATTGGAATTCCACTGAGGCGGCGTCCTTGGTTTGGGGGTAATTTCGAGGCTTCACATGGGTAGACTTTGCGTCCTTCAAATCCCCACAATGCTTTGCACACGGACCAATTTCCCCAAATCTGTGGCGGAAAATGTAAGGCGGGGCATCTCATATGACGCACACCTGCACACTTGCTAGCCTGTTCCACTCTTCGTTTTCCGAATGCCAGGAAGGATTCTTGCCTAGCTTCTGAAGGAAGTGACTCGGAAGACGTGTGCTACCAAGCAAGCATCCTCGCGATTGAGAAACGGCCAATTTCTCATTGACTAACACTGGGAAAGATCCCATCAAGTTCACTTGATCCTATTATGTGGCGACCTACACTTATTTGAACCATGGTTGTGTAGTTATTTTATTTTTTTATTACACATGTGCGTGCCTCTATCATTTGAGTGGCCCACTTATTGTTTGCCTTTTACTTGCAATGTCCCTTTTCTGATTTAACACTGTTACTTATTCCCCCTGTGAGAAAAATAATGGCATTCCATTAATCCCTCCAGGATCCTGAGACAAACAGTAAAGACATAAGGGACATAAACTCTTTATAATCATTCAGATACTTGTGCTCATCAACAGACCTCCACTCACTCTCTATTTTAGAATATATTTTATATATAGTTCTGCTGTCAATATATACATTTTTAAATGATCAGGGAATGAAGACCGTCACACAAATATTTTTCGAAACTTCCTCTTTTTCTGCAAGCTGCTGAATTATAAATGATACATTAATAATGATGAAAGCATATGAGTTACTTTGAAAAAAACGTAGAGAATAAAAAACAAATATGCCTGTGATTAGGAGCTCTCATACTACAATTCTTATCTTTAAAAATAAAAATAACTAAAACATTTAAATAAATAACGGATGTGTCTGACGTGTCCCCATGAGGAATACTACTCTGATCTGTTCGAATAATCAGTTTCATTGGTTTCTTCAATCACGTTTGATTCAGGACTTTTAAATATTCCGATTGTTTGACTGTGTTTTTCCAGGCGCCTACTTTCTGTTTCAGAGTTGATGCTGAGTGTGTTGCATATGCATTGACCCTGATGGTATAATATCGCACATTATGTAAGTCAAGTTCCACTTAAGGTAGCAAAGAAGCACTTTTGCCATAAAGTACTTATAGGCAGTGCATTATACATGGATTCAGCGCTACAGTCCAGTGTGTGGCCTTGGAGTAATTTCCAGACACGGAACATCTGAAACCATCAACCCTAAACATGCAATCCACATTTCTCCCATTACTTGCTGGCAGGAAGTGGTCCCGTTGGTCCCTCATCTTGGTTAATGGTGGCTGAGTGGCTCTCAGGCTGCTCATATAATGACCTGTAATGCATAAAAACTTACCTACTGGGTCATTTTCTTCCTCTCAATCCCAATGTACATTTGAGAGTCCCTTCCAAATGTGTCATTCAGCCCAATGTGTGATGGCAGAAAAAAAATACAAAGCAGGAGGTGAAATGGAAGGCATTGTGGTTAATGCACTGCTGACGATGATTGGTGCTTCCTGTTAGAGACACAGCAGCAACAAAAACAGCAGGTAAAGAGACAGTGACACAGAGAGGAAATGTACTATTATGGCTGAATGACAGATCCTTTCCCAGATTCCAGCCTTAAAGTCACATGCACGTTTATATGACGGCCTCATATAAAGGGCACCAATTCCCTTTCTGTATTTTGCAAAGGTGCTCCAATGACCCTGTGATGTGCCCATAGGTGAAGCCTGCATTAGGAGGCTGACCAGGCACTAACCAAAAATAGTTTTTTTTAAAGGTCCCATGTTTTGGCCATTTCTACTGATCATAATTCCATTGTTAAGGTCTACTAGAATAGATTTACATTGTTCAATGTTCCAAACTCACATTGGTTTTCTCATTCAGCATTTCTGTACCTTCAACATGTATATGTTTTGCAATAGTAACATAATATATTTGAGTTAAACTAATCAGTACATTATATTTTAATCCAATTTATTTTTAACTAATAAATTGAACATATTTCCAGGAATTTGGTAAACCCAACATATTTGTTCCTTTATTCAGGGACACTTCCTTTTTCTTCTGACATATCGCAACAAACCAGTAGGGGGAGGAGCTCAGCTCTGTATGGACTTCATTCATTGTGTTTCTTTCATTCCACACACACACACACACACACACACACACACACACACACACACACACACACACACACACACACACACACACACACACTCTCTCTGTGTCCCTCAGAGTGCAGGCTCTCTCTGTTGGCATGACAAATGATTAGTGATAGTTTGCTGTACAGCGACATCCCGGCTCTGCCAGCAGTTACTCTGAGAGCTTTGTAAACAAGTCTATTTGGAAAGAGGTGGAGAAGTTATTGGACAAAAGCTCTGCCAGCCTTGTATATCATTCATTCCATCTGGCTGTATGCCTGAGATGTTTGCTTGGGCCTGCGTGAAAAGGTCTAAAGAGACATTATTGAATGTACAGCACACAATACCTGAGCATTTCAGGAGAGAATATTTATGACAAATCTGTCTGCTGTGTTCAATCTCTCAGCGCAGAAATATAAATACAGTTTATGTGCCGCATGGAGAGGCTGTGATGCATATGTATTTTATTTGTATAGGCCTACATACGTATGTTGTTGTTTAATGTTTCTCATATTTACCTCTCATGGGGTAAATATATTTTCACTATGATAATTTCCTCTAAAATGCTGATCATTTTACAAATAAGGTTCTCTTAAGTGCGAGTGGCGACTGCTCTCAATTTCTAAACAAATGCAGTCAGCCTACAGGGGGCACAAACAGTGATAGTGTTACTATAAGAAGTCAATCTAAAGCAGTTAGTGATCTCATCCTGTTTGGTCAAACTGAATAAAGGTTGAAAGCACTGAATTGCAGATTGGTGACACTTGGCATTTTGTCCTGTAACAGCACAGTTGCCTCATATAGTCACACATGGTAGTTATGTCGCAGT